AACTCGAATTGTCCTTGATGTCGGTGCCCCCTTGGGCTACCAAACCCTCAATCCTCACCCATTACAGGTTTCAAACGGACCGAGTTCAATTCGAGGGGATTCACTGCCTTATACCCATACGAGGAATAAATTCCTACGAAGGTATAAGGTATGTATCCCATGGGTTATTTGCCAAAACTCATACGAAGAATAAATTCTTACGAGAGTAAAGCAATCACCCTAACTAATTTGGATCGAAACTCATGTCTAGAGCTCATGTTATGCTAATGAAAGTGATGTGTGTGAGGAGAAACAAACAAACCTTTGACTCAAAAACAGGGAAAATAAACTCAACGAGAACTAAGAAACATCTGGAAAAAAATGAAAACAATTAAAATGTTAGTATATAAAAATAAAGAGATAAAATAAAAATCAATACATAGATTATAGTTTTACTAAAGATTCGAACTTATAATTTCCACCATAACGACCATATATAAGCGACCGACAGCCTGACTCTCTAGTAATCCCCAGCAGAGTCGCCAAGCTGTCATAACCATTTTTTTTGTAAAACAATTAAATATTATTTTTAAAAACAATTATGACTTTAATTTGGAAAATTTGGTGATTTTGAAGGGATTTGAATAAAATTGAAAAGAGTCGCCATCGACCTTTGGGTTAGGTAGGTCAAATACCTAAAAACGTCTTTTAAAAACAATTTTAAGAAAAATAATTTTATAAGACAAAAATTTGGTCTACGTTACCAAAGATTCATTTAAAACAGGTTCGGGAGTCGGTTACGTATGGGGAAGGGTAAACACCCCCACAACGCCCAAAATTGGTACTGTGTAGCTTACATATCGTCGTAAATGGTGGAAATTACAAATTGAATATAAAACTAAAATATGATTCGTTTATTGAGATTTAATTAATTTACTTCGAATTATTTTATCAGAGAAAATTCTTTAATTTGAAAAGAAATCTCGAGATTAACAATCCTCCGTCGGGAAAGTTAACTCGTCTATTTCTTATCTTTTAAAGAATATTCTCTCATCATTTATTTAAAAACGTGTATCGAATATAAAATGAAAATTTAAAATTTACATTCACATAAAATAAAGTGAGCGTCACTTAAGGTACCACACATTACATCATTTTAATAAATTAATTAGTAAAATATACTCGACTTGTTACAAGTCCCTATGTCGTTAAAATGCCGTATCGGATCGTACCACTTCGACCAAGTGGTACTTTCCACGCCCATTCTACGCATACGTGTTCTTGAAAATATAATCGAATATTTCTTACATAGATAAAAATATAATGAAAATAAATGTGATTGGAAATACAAAGATTTACATTAAATTAAAGTAAACACAATACCAATAATTAACTAATGAGTAAAATGAACATCCATACATAAATGACTAAAATACAAATTAGTAAATATTACAGACCAAAATAAATATTAAAACATTTAAGGGGCTAAAATATAATTAACAAATATTTTTAAAAGAACAGTAAAAAAAATAAACCATAAATCATATTAGGGACCAAAATGAAATGAAAAAAACATAAAGAACTAAACCACAATTAAGCCAAATGTTAAACAGGGACTAAAACGAAACATGCATAAAATAATATGGCCAAATTCGAACTCTAATAAAAATGTAATAATAAACCAGATAAGGACTAAAATATAATGAAAGTAAAATAAACAGACATTAATCGATATTTAACCCAAAATATGAGAGTAGTGATCAAGATAAAAGTTTCATAAATAAAGAGTACAATGTCTAAACTTTCAAAAATATTAACAATAACCAGTCCAGTGACCAATGTGTAAACTTTAAAAATATAGGGCTTGAAGTACAGAATAAATAAAATACACTAAGCCCTTAAACAACTTACAAAACACGGGGACCCTTACAATATAATTAAACCATAGGCTAATTAGTGACTAGAATAAAATGTACACAAATGTCATGGACAAATTTAAAACATTAACAAAAATAAATAACACACCAGCACAGTGACTAAAATGAAAAAAAAACATAAATCACAGGTCCGAATTCGAAGATCATAAAACATACATAATATATAAACTAGTGATTCAAATGAAACAAAATAAAACTATAGGCTCGAAATAAGATTGCATGGATTTCATTTAGTGACCAGATCACAACCCTTACAAAAGCTTGAGGGACCTAAACTGTGATTAACCCTAAATGTAAAAACACGCAGACCCCCAAGCCCCTTAAACGATGCCGTTTCACTCGGTGATTATACCATCTTAAGGGTTTACACCGAGACCCTAATACCATTTCCCAATCCCTCTCTGTCTCTCTTCCAATTCTTCTCCATCTCTTCCTTCTTACCCCACGGCCGAAGAGAAAAGAAAGCAACCCCGGCCACCATGGAACGGTGGCCACGGGGATTCAACTCCCCAAAAACTCTCTCTCTCTCTCTCTCTCTTTATCCTCTAATAACCCTAAAACAAACCTAAACCCGAGCCTCCACTCATAACTGATTAAAAACAAACCCTTACCTTTGAAACCTGAAAGAAAGGTTCTGGGTTTGGTGAAGCAACGACGAAAGAGGTGATGGCTTCCAAAAGGTAACCTTTCTTATCATTCCCCCTTTTTTTTGTTTTCTGTTTCGAATCTCTCTTTCTTTCTATTCCCTCCTTTTTTTTTTGGTTTCGTTCCCTTGATTTTTATGTTGAGTATTTGGTGATATGATGATGATATCTAGGTAGATAGGATTTGATTTCTCTGATTTGGGTGGATAAAGTCCAGATTTTTCGGGATTTTGGGGTGTTATTTTAATGGGTTTTTAGATTTGGGGTAAGTTTGATACACTGTTGATGACATTTGCTTCACTGTGTGACCAGATTGCTGATGACGACCGGCTCGGGATTCACCATCGACACCTCAAGCACGGCTGGGAGATGGAAGGCCAAACGGTTGTGGCGGCGGCTGAGCTGTTAGGGCTCAGAACAAGGGTTAGGGTTTCATACCTAAATGACCTTTGATCTGGACCATTGGATGGGTCCAGATCAAACGGTCTTGATGGTGCGGCGCTGAGGCAGAGAAGGGGTAACCCTAGCGGGTTTGGGCCGATTGCTGGGCCGCAGGTTTGGGTTGTTCGGCTCCGGGATTGGGCCTTTGTAATATGAATTGGGCTTCTAAGCCTGCAAAAATGTAATATGTAAAATTAATAATAATAGTTAATAATAATTAATAATAATAAAAAAATAAAAAAAATAAATATAAAAGACCCGGACAAAAACGGGTATCTACACCATGTTTTTGTAATTTTAAAATTTTTTGTTTAAAATAAGAAAACTTAAAAATATAATTTTATTTGAAAAATTCAATACTTTTGAAAATCTTTAAAAAAAAAACCTAAACTTTGAAATTTTTTATTTCAATCTCTATACCCACGCTCGACCACCCCTATTAACTGTCATTGTCGTTGATAAACCTCCAACCGACCGAACTGCCATTGATAACACAATCACCCGATAACACAACCACTCGAAGAATCTCTAATTGACGATATAAACTCGATGAAAATAATACTAAAATCGCAAAAATTGAAGTTACTTGACGACTTCGGCGACGACCATGACAACATGAACAAGAATAACTAACAATGGAGGCGTCAAGGATAGCAACGACGTCGATGGCCGTGGACGAAAAGGGAGAAATTAGTGTTAGGGTTAGGGATGATTTTAGAGATTTGTGATTTTTTATAATTTTAGAAAAAGTAGTTTTTTATATAAATATACTAATATTTTTAATTTTTTAATTTAAATAAAAAAGTTTAAAATTTTATATAGCTGACGTGTGTCCTCTAATGCCAAAATTTAACGGTCGTTACGGCCTGAACATCTAAAATAGTAACATTTATAATGTTAGGCACTTAGATGATTCAAAAAACAGTTTGAGGATATATTTGAGAAAAATACTGTAGCATCACTATATTCAATAAAATTATATATATCGTAGAAGAACTAAACACTCGGGGGGTGTTTGGATGGGGGAATGTGGGATTCCCATGGGAATGGAATTCACATTCTCCCGTTTGGTTAGGCCGATAATTCCATTCCCGGTAATGAAAGATTACCAATAGTGGATTTTTTGGGGTATATTACCGGGAATGTTATTACCTTCATTTCCTTAGGTATTGTTGGATTACCGACGTTTTGGATTAAAATGCCCTTAATTTTTTTTTAAATATTCTTCTTCTGTCATTGAATGATAAAAATTCTACGAAAATTAAATTACAAATTTATCCTTAAATTTTAGATTTAAAAAAAATCTATAATTAAAATTTTATATTAAGTTTAGGGATTAAAATAAAATTTTACCATTTCATTAAACTTTTTTTATATTTTTAATTTTGTAAAAAAATTATATAAATATTATGAATTTAAATTTTTTAAAGAAAATATATAAATATTTTTCAACTTGTAACATTATACAAATATATAATAAATACAATTTGGTCAAATATACATTCTAATAATCTTTTATTCCTTTAACTAAACACGGTAATCTTACATTCCTGCTAAGCCAACCAAACACAAAATATAACATTCTCAATAATCTTATTCCCTGATAATCTTACATTCCCACTAGTAATCTTACATTCGTGAACCAAACGCACCCTCATAGATAAGTAGAATGACCACAAAATTAATCCGAAAAGAAAAAAATTATAGGGTAAATTCAATGTTTAGTTCATAAACTATTAGTTTCGATCTGTTTTAGTACCTAAATTTTAATTTTTGTTTCATTTTAGTATCTACCATTAAAAACTTTAGTTTTTGTTTCATTTTAGTACCCTTTCAAAATTTAACGTTAAATTTAAAAAAAATTGAAAGTTTAGGTACTAAAACAATACAAAATTGATAGTTTAAGTACTAAACGCATTAAGTTTTTAACAAATGTACTAAAATGAAATGAAAACTAAACATTATGTATAGTTTTGAAAAAAATTGAAAGTTTAGGTACTAAAACGGACTGAAACTAATAGTTTAGGTACTAAAGGTGTAGTTAAACCAAAATTATAAAAGTAAGCAGCTTTATATATGCACATCAAACAACCATAGCCAGCAACAGCACCAACATAATAAGCCAATGACAATTTCCCAACAGCTTCGAGCCGGCTGAAAGAAACAGAAGCCTGTTATTTTTCATTCATGGTACAGCAGTATACATGTTCTATACAGGTTTTCTATGGTATCGTTTTTACCTCGATTCGCATCGTTTCCGGACGATGCCGGTGTTACGGAAGTAGATCTGTTAGACATGGAGATACCAAGGTTTGCACAATCCATCCCAATTGCACCTTAAAGCCCACAAAGTTCAAACTCAATCAGCAGTTTATTCTTTGGGACATACTAAAAGACCAGAAGCCTATATGTTCACCGTGTTCTTACATTCTCTGTAGCAAGGCAAGGCAGAGACATTAAGAAGATTAAAATGACCCTCCGAGCATTTGCAATCGTACGTAAACGGCGACGTCTTGTTGCACAATCCTCCACCACAGTTAGTCCACCGGCAGACTGTGAGCACATGAAACAACTCCATTAACATTAAGCTACAAAGTGACCAAATTGAAAAAACTTAAAATGGCACAAAGCTTACTATCAAAGACGGATTGATTTGCTTTAGCTGCCTTTTCTTGCACCGGGGAAGGAGCTGCTGCACAAGCCTCGTCGAGCGTACCTAAACCGCAAGTAAATCGATCACGACACGTATCAGCAATCGAACTTTTTTAAAAGGAAGAATTAAGCTCTGCAGTATTTGGCATAGCTAAGACATTAACATCACGCATAGACTGATATTTGGTGCACAATATTGTGAATTTGTGATATGATTCGAGTGTGATTGGCATGTATCCTTAGCGGTAAAGCTAGTTAAGCTAATGAACTATCAAGATTTCACTTGCATAACATAATCAAATTAAGGTCAAATTCAGAGAGGATTTCGTGATTTCGAGTATATATACACAGAGAAACCATAACCAATAGACAGAATAATTAAACATGAAAAAGAAGTGAACTTTACAGTTGGGGAAAATGCAAGGGAGGAACTTGGGATGATGATCATCATCATTATCAGCAGCAGTTTGTTTCCAGCCAGCATCACATTCACAGATATAATAAGGGAGTGTTCCATTTGAAGAAGGCTTGCATTTCCCTTTTCCACATCCCACTTCTTTGCATACATCATCTGCAACAAGTACCCAAATCAACAAAAGAACACAAAGATCCCAAAACAAATCGACCAAGAACGAAAGATGAAGAAAAGGGAAAGTGACAAACTGAAGATGGGTTGCAGAAGAGGGGATAAAAAGTCTGTTTTAGCAATGTCGAAGTGCATAGCAAGGAATATGGTGAGGAAGGCAAGTGAGTTGAGAGAAGCCATGGGTGAAACTTTCAGGAGTTTGGAAAAGATCTGCGAGTGGTGTGCTTAAATGGACGGTGATCCGAGCCGTGGAACGTGTTTACGTGGAGTGGACTTTGGGGGGCTAAATTGGGTGGTTGGTAGTTGGGAGTTTCCTAGTTTAAAAGCTGGATTTTTCTCTGCGGCATTTGTCGTTTCACGAGTGGAAAAAATGGGAAAATCTGGTTTGTTGCATTAAATTCTAAGGGACGAAAGTCAAGTATTGTGAGCACTGTACTGGTGGAACCACAAGGGTACCTGTACCTGTAGTTTTCAGTTTTCACCGATGGCTCCGGCGTGTGAAGATGATCGGTTCATCCTTATCGCCTTCCGGACATGATTTCGGCCTACCTGCTGCTGATAATATGGTATTTTTTTATCATTATTAAAATATACAAATAATTTAAAATAAGATAATAATATATTATTATTAAATTTAAAAGCTTTAAAATAATCATCGTCTCTTCTGTCCCTTCTCGTTATCATCGACCATCATTGACTTTCGAAACCGGCAACAGTTTGATCTCAAAGTATACCAAGAGACTTTCTTTAACAAGTTGAGTCCGAATTTAGTAGTTGTTTCTCCGGAAAATGTCCCAAAACCTATTAATATCGATTGAAATATTTCAGTTTACTCGTTTTCAATCTCCAATTCATGGATTTTGGAGCACGTTATGATAAAATAGAGGTCAAATCCAGATTTTGAGGTTGAGACAAAGCAACCTATGAACTTCGGGATCTAACAGCCACCATCTATGATGGTTGACATTTCATTTTCCTCACTTTTGATCAAATTTAGAGTATGTTCTGACAAAATAGAGATTGTATTTGAACTTAATGGGTTGAGACAAAACAATCTATGAAATATGAGATCGAACGACCACCATCTATAACCATCAACGGCGCCATCCAACGATGAAAAACAGTGGATGACAAACAATGAGTGAAATAAGAAAGAGAGTAAAGTTCAATGAAGAATACATAATTTATCCTTTTTAAACATTTTGAAATTTAGGACTCAATTTAAAGGCCATGCTATAGTTTGGGGATGAATTGTTGTAATTAACCCTAAAAATAAGTACAACCCACAAAAGACTATGGTGGTGTTTGTTTTTACTGTGTAAGGTCTGCAAAACTCTTATGTCTGCGCCGCACAGACCACACGCAGACATTAGGTTTCGTAGACCGTTTGTTTTTTAGAAGACATAAACTCTACTAACGTATGCACGAGCTCTTCTTGATACAGACATGATTTTATGTCTTCAAAAGTCTGCGGGAAAATTAAAATCATTTAAATCTATTTTAAAATTTATTTTAAAATATAGATTGATTTATTTTAAAATATGAAAAAAATTATTTTAAAATATGGATTGATTTATTTTAAAATATAGATTGATTTATTTTAAAATATGGAAAAAATTATTTTAAAATATAAATTGATTTGTTTTAAAATATAGATTGATTTATTTTAAAATATGGAAAATTTATTTTAAAATATGAATTGATTTATTTTAAAATATGAATTGATTTATTTTAAAATATGGATTGATTTATTTTAAAAAAATTATTATTGTAGTTGTATGGATTATTTAAATTTCAGTATTATAAAGCTAAAATTATTTAAATTTCATTATTGCAAAACTCTTTTAAGTTTAAAAAATCAATTTATTTATATTTCAGTTTATTTTAACAATTTACAGACGTTAAAAAACAAACAGTTTTTTTTTCAGACTGCAGACTTTTAGTCTACTCTTCTGTTATAGATATCTACAGATGTAATTCGCATACTACAAATCTTTTACCTATTTAAAAACACACACCACCTACGCGTATATAAACGACTAGAATTAGGGTTTTCGAGTCTCACTCAACTAGTACACTTAAAACAAGGTGCCGACTGCTCAACTCTTCGTAGCTAATAGCTAACAAGCCAAGTTTGAAGGATGGCCGTCGGGTACTCATTTCTCTCTCTTCATCTCTCACTCATTCCTCAAATGGATTTTGCTTTATTTTCTAAAATCTGATCGCTTTTCTGGGTTATCTCTTTGTTCTGTAATGCAGGAAGAACAAGAGGATTTCCAAAGGGAAGAAAGGAGGAAAGAAGAAGGCGTGAGTACTGCTTTCTTTTTCAATCGAATCTAGCTTTAATTACGCCTTTGGGTATTTTATAAGCAGCTCTTTTGGTTAAATGTTGATTTTTGTTGTTGGGTTTTCTTTAGAGCGGATCCCTTTGCTAAGAAGGATTGGTACGATATCAAGGCTCCATCAGTTTTCACTACCAGAAACGTGGGAAAAACACTTGTCACCCGTACTCAGGGTACAAAGGTTTGTTTTTTATTTTCATTTTGTATTTCGTAATCTATTGAAAATGCTTGGATTTTATTGAATGTTAAATTTTTGGATGTTTTGAACCTTAGAGTATGCTGGGAATCTCACATATTCTTTGTAATTGCTTTATCTAGCTTAAGATTAGACCCTTTTTAGCTTTTACAGGAATATATATATATTAATTGTGAATTGTAATTTTGATCCGAACCATGCTTATATTGCTGGTTGTTTTATATGAATGATGTTATTTTTGTCTGTTTCCTGTTCTTTTTGATCCGTGAGCTGAGTCAGTGCTTAATTTTCGACTTTAAAACCGGTTTTCTGATATTTTCGGTCTCGCATGTTTTGATTTTAGTCAGCTTTAGTTATATAGCCACTTAAGTAACTACTTTTAATATGCTGTGGCTCTGGGAAAGTGTTATTGATATGTAAGTTTCCGTATACATAAAGCATAATGAACTTAGACCCGGTTGGTACATCCACTTAACATATAGCTATAGTTTGATTTCTAAGCATGTAAGTGGTTTGAGTTGAACTTGGCTACTCTCTTGACAGATTGCTTCAGAAGGACTCAAGCACCGTGTGTTTGAGGTTTCACTGGCTGATCTTCAAGGCGGTGATGAGGATCATGCTTACAGGAAGATCCGTTTGAGAGCTGAAGATGTTCAAGGAAAAAATGTTTTGACCAACTTCTGGGTATGTAAATATAAATCTCCATGTTCACTTCATTATCTCTATTGTTCCAGCAGTAGAAATTAAAAGTTCTGATTTGTTTTCCGTTTCAAAATTTCAGGGGATGAACTTTACCACTGACAAATTGAGGTCTTTGGTGCGTAAATGGCAAACTCTGATTGAAGCTCATGTGGATGTGAAGACAACCGACAACTACACTCTGAGAATGTTCTGCATTGGATTTACTAAGAGACGACCTAACCAGGTTAAAAGGACTTGTTACGCACAGTCCAGCCAGATTAGACAGGTAATCAAGCCCTATTTACTGCAAAGCCTTTAGTACTTGTTATTGGATTTTCTTGCTCGTCCGTGAGACATTTTCGAGCATCAAGGATCTGCTTATTCGTGTGTGCTTTATGCAAATGACCGAGTGAAGTAAGTTATTATTTTGCAGATACGCAGAAAGATGAGAGAGATCATGACTGCCCAGGCAACATCATGTGATTTGAAGGGATTGGTTCAAAAATTCATTCCGGAGATGATTGGAAAAGAAATTGAAAAGGCCACATCCAGCATCTATCCTTTACAGAATGTGTTCATTCGTAAAGTCAAAATTTTGAAGGCTCCCAAGTTTGATCTTGGAAAGTTGATGGAGGCATGTTTCTGATACCATTTCTATTGTACTTTTCCATAAAAAATATCCCACTGACCCGGTTTAAGGTATTTACTGGATAAGATATCAAAGATACAGCATCTTGTGCCATGTTAACTAATCTATTTTGTTTTTTTATTCATTTAGGTTCATGGTGACTACTCAGAGGACATTGGTGTGAAGCTAGAGAGGCCTGCTGAAGAGACAATGGCCGAGGCTCCCGCAGAGGTTGTTGGAGCTTGAATGAAGAAGAGTCCTTGAATTTGTCATGTTTTATTTTGCTTGAAAGAGATTTTGTTGAGAAACTTCTCTAGAGTAGAGAATCTCCATGGTTTTGACGTTAAAGATGTGATTTTGCAACTTCTTTTGAGTAGACAATATGTTGCTCTTTGGCAGATAAAGATATGAATCTATGAATATCTTAGAATCTATATAGTGCCTTTTAGGTTATGTTTATTAGTTTTAAAGAATGACCTTAAATCGTTCAAACACTATGCTTTGATTTTCTCGATTTAATCCTTAGCTATTAATCAATTTTTGTTTACACGAAGAGATAAAAGTGCCTGGACACAGCTTATTAACTGATTACATCAGAGGACTAATTCTTACGTTGTTCAAAAAGCTAGATGTAGTAATATTCTGTAGACACAGATCCTAAGCATAATTATACCAGGAAAATTCCATGGGAACAACAGGCTTTCCTTTGTGTGTGAATGAGAGCCTCAGTCCACACTGCTAGAAGGTCTTGCACACCCACAAAAACAAGCTTTCTTTCGCCTTCCGCTCCGTCTTCCGCTGCTGTAGATGAAGTCCTTCAAGAGGACACCTGTTCGGTTTTTCCCTTTTCTCTTCCTTTCATCTTCGAGTTTCAGCATCACATATTCGATACTCTGCACCTCGAACTGCAGCCTTCCGATCTTTTCAGACCCTTTTTGTGCCTGCTCTCGCACTTTCTTCAAGTCACCATCTCCGGGTTCTTCCAACTCGGTTGTGCTTGTCCCATGGAAAGGTGAAGAACTCCCTTCAACATCCTTGACTGATTCATTGTTGTCATTCAGCAACTCCGTTATTGCATCCTCCACCTCCTGCAACTGCTCTTTAACTTGTGCGTACTCTAAATCGAAAGCTTTATTCCTCTTCTTGATCTCCATTCTCTTTTTCAGCTGTTTGACGGTAGTTCGGAGACTCATCAATTTATGAGCGTCGGAAGCAAGTCTGTCTAAGACCTTTTTGCTTTTTGCTCCTCTCTTAGGCTCTCTAACGCTGGTTGAAATCTCAAGCTTATCAATGCTCGGCTCCTTCTCCACCAGTGTTCCCAAAGAACCATCGGTTTTCTGGTCTACATCATTGAACTGATGAGAATCAACTATTTCCC